CCCCGCCACTTTCCAAGCCAGGAGCCCATTACTCCATCCCCAGTGGAATCTGACAGCCCCTCTGGGTCAGAGCCCTCAGCTCTAACCCACAACCCTATGTCCTGTCCCCGTGCCCAGGCAGGGAGAACTCCAGTGCAGTCTGAAGCTCCCACGTTTTCCCACGTTACATATTTTCTCTAATGCTCTCACTATGTTATCATTTCAGAGAGAAAATTCAGGAAGGAAGAATATGTGACAGTGGCAGCACAGGGACCTCGATGTGCTCTGAGAGTCTCACCTTGTGTCAAGAGCTGTCGTGTCCTTTATAGACCTCCAACCCCTCAACCCAGAGGTGTTTAACTGAATCCATGGCAACAGGGGATCCAGCTGCGTTCCAGGCATCATCTCAGGAGGTGAAGCAAAGAGCCTTGGTGAAGGGCATGGCAATGAGTCCCTTGGATGCCATGAGGGTGTCAGATCCACATCAGTCAAAGCCTGACAGCATTGAGACAGAAAGAGTCCTGACTGTCCTGGATGAGACCATTGCCAAGCTGGAGATGATCAGGTTGATCCCATGGATTACTGTCTCTCTGAAGAAGTCTGCTGAGATGTTGGGACCTGAGATCACTGACAGCCTGATGGAGCACCAAAAGCTTTCCGAGAAAGTGCAGGAGCTGCTCTCCAGCCTTGAGGCAGAGGAGACCATGAGAGCTGAGGAGCAACGCCTGAAATGTTCTGCTAGAGACATCCTGAGGCTCTTCCTGGCCAACCCTTTGCTGTGCGAGGGGCTGAAATCTGAGGTGCAGGTGAAACGTTCACCAGCTGATGCATTTATCACAGCCTTTGTGGAGTTCAGGGGTTTCATGCTGGAAAGACTCCTGACCAGTCCCATAGAAGAGGAAGAGAAGGTTCAGTTCATGAGAAACATCTCCCTCCAAGTTGAGGAAAACACTGCAATGATCACAGCTCTGAGGGCAGACCTGGCAGCAGCCACCAGGGCTCGGGAGGAGGAGGTGAGATCCTGTGGGAATATGCTTGCCAACAGAGTGTTACTGAAGCAAAACTTTGGGAAGCTAAAACCTGATCCCTTTATTGCAGTTCCCAAAGAACAAGTTCCAGAAATCATTTCTAGACCAGATTCTAAACTTAAAGATACAATTTTTATTGCAAAATATAATGAAAGATGCTTATTGCATGCTTGATTTTCTCTTTAAACTTGAATTTGGCATGTTTTGAATCTGTTCTCACCAGCCAACTTGACCCACACAAGTTCCAGAGGAGCTGCAGGACAGGCACAAGTTGCTCTGGTGGTGACCTGGCAGGGTGACAGTGCCAGCTGCTTCCTTCCTTGCTCCTGAAATGATGGAAAGTCATTCCAGGGAGAGATTGCTTTGATTAAAAGCCATTTTTAATATCTGCCCTGTCTTCACTCTTGCTTAAAACCAACATTTCTGTGCCTTCCAACTCTAATAGCTGCCTTGGAGCTTTGTGATTAATCAGTGATGAGATGAATTACATGGCTTGCTAATTGTATCTGCAGCACTTCCTGAGCCCCCGGGCTGTCCCAGCATCCAGGCCCTGAGCTCCCAACAACATTCTTTTGTTTCTTACCTGTGCTTCTCCTTCTCCTCCCTGCAAGAGGGGTCACTGGGGAAGGTTTTGTCCTGTGCCGGCAGAGCCAAGGCCCTGCTTTCCCCATTCCCTTTGCTCCCTGGAGATCTGAGTATTGAGACACTTGAGATTCTTATGTGCAATTTGGCAGCTTGTCCAGGGCATTGGGAATAAATTTGTTTCACTGGACCCAGCTGAGGATTTCCCTGAGGGAGCTTCATCTCCCAGAGTCACTCGGAGCCTGATCCAGCTTGAGGGAGCACAGGACTTACTCCACGGAATCTGATTTGGCTTGGTTTGTTGACTCTCTGCTTTTACTAACAGGTTCCCAGAGGAGCAAGGGGGAAAGTTTCCAAAGCTCCTGTGTAAGTCTGACTCTTACCTCAGCTGACAGTAGCAAGTCCCTGGTGCTACCTAAGGGTCTCCTCTAGGATCTCCTCCTCCTTTGCAAGGGTAGTTCCTTGGATCTTATCATCCTTGCAAGGGTCTTTCTTCTCCTGACCACCTTATGCCTCACTGGCATTTCCCAATGGGATTGCTCTTGTTTTCTGGCTGTAGATCAACAAGAAGGACAAAGTGATTGAAGACCTCAAAGCCAGCATGGAAGACCTGGCCAGAGACTGCAAGGCTAACATGGAGCAGGTCAAGATGGAAGGGCACAACCAGCAGAAGAAAGACGTGGAAGCCTCCCAGGCCAGGTGTGCCAGGCTGCAGCAGGACATTCAGCAACTGAGGGCACAGCTCAGTGCACTGGTGCTGGAGCACAGAGCCTCAGAGCTGCTGCTCAGGAAGGTAAAGGGAGGAGAGCTCTGGGACAGGAGATTAAACCTGTGTGTGGAGCTGTCAGCTCTGGCTGCTGCTGCTGCTGTGAGGCATTACTTGGTCCCTGCCGGTTCCTGGCAGGATGCACATGGTGCTTGTCAGAGCACACACACTCTGTCCTCATGCTCTGCTAGTTCCAGTGCAAAGCAGCCCTGCAGTGACAGCAGAGACAGAGCTGTCACAGGTCCTGCTCCTGCCTGGGCCCTGGGAACACCTGCACAGGCACTGTGACATAGCACGGGAGGGTGTCACAGTGCTGAGCAGAGAGCAGGACACACCATGGGGGAGGGACAGTGCAGGGACAAGGCATCTGGTGTAGGATGAGCAGACCAACCACAATATTGGCTCGGTATAAAGGCATCTTTTAAACTTGATTTAATATTCAAGGTGGAACATGGGCTCAACAGTTCCCGCTCTCAGCAGTTCCTGCTCTGCCTGGCACTTGGTTGAAGTCACAAACTAAGGAATTGGTTTGTGTTGAATGAAGGGTAAATGTGATTTCCTGGAATAATCACAAACTGGTTTGGGTTGGAAGGACCTAAAGCCCATCCAGTCCCACCCCGTGCTATGGCAGGATACCCACACTGGTGATGGGGCATGGAGTGGCAGCAAGACTGGGCATTGACAAAGCATCAAACTCAAATTAGAGCTTCAGTACAAGCCCCAAAATATCCCTGTTTATACCTCCTGTGGTGCAGTGGCTGTGTCAGGCAGTCCCTGAGGCTGCAGGCCTGGTAGCCCTTGGGACATCCTGGGGCAGTGTCACTGTGATGGGCTGTAGTTGATCCTTCCCTTGAAAATTCCACAGACCACATACAGCAGCTGGGGGTAAACTGCCTGTACCTTCTTACGTTCTGCTAAGTTGTTTCACAGCTAGAAACACCTCATTTTAAAAGTCACCATCTCTTGAGTGCTTTCTGTCCTGCTTTCATGCTTTGCAGTTTTCTCTGGCTTCAATATTTGGGTGGTTGCCCCAGTTTGTCAATGACTTGCCACATTCCAAAAGACACATTAATTTCCTCCTGCAGAAAACACTTTGAGGTGCCATTCAACCCCCATCTTAATGCTGGAAACCAAACAAAGCTCTGTGGGCCTCAGGGAAGGGCCCAGGAGAATCCTCAAACCAGGGCAAACCACATGTGTGTCAGCTGAGGGACATCACAGGGAGGTGTTCTACTCGGGTATAATGGTGCTGGGGCTCAAAGCTTCCCTGTTTGCTCACTCAGGATACTTCTTTCCAGGCCTCAGATGCCTGCAGGGGTGCAATCTTGTTTTGTGTTTCAGAGGAATTGCAGAGCTGAGACAGAAATTCAGAACTGGATCCAGAAATATGATGCAGACATGGCAGAAAAACAGGTATTGGCTCTGCTTTGCCAGGAGGTGATTTGCTTGGGTACGTTTCTGTCCGAATGGGTAGGAAGTCAGTGAAGTGAGGGGCAGTTCTCCATTCAGGTGAACTATAGGAAAGGGATCTTCATCCTGCCTATGTGTCCAGGAGTTCTCTGCTCCTTTACTCTAGGAAAAGTTACATCCACTGCTAAATCCCACAGTGTTTGGGGGAAATAGGTCACCACATTCTGTCAGGCACATCCACCTCATGCCAGGAAACAGTTTTCATCCAATCCCCAATCCTGTTGGCCCTGCCTGGTGCCCAAATCCTTCTCCTGTTTCTGCTGGGTGCTAAGGCACCCAATAGCCTGCACCCAACTGAGCCATGACAGGCTGAGGGGACACATCAGCTTCCCCAAACCTCACCTCTGAGGAGGCCCTGGTTACTTTCCTGTTCCTGCGGTATTTATGGGGATGGATAAAAGCTGCTGGATTCCTAATAGAGCAAAGTGCAGGGAGGGGCCTGGCTGTTAATTATAAGGAATTCTGTTTAATAATGGGATTGTTTTGGTTTCCTGATGCTGGAGCCCCATGTTTGGGCAGGTTTGGGGCAGGATTTACTAAGGCAGACACAGCCCCACACTGCTGAGGCCCCAGATCTTCCATGTGAGAGCATTTTTCACAGGAGCATGAAGATCCTGGGACATGGCAGCTCAGGAAATTCTCTGGGCACAGGCCACCTTTCTGAGTGCCTTTGGAAAGACTCAGCTCAGCTCCGAGTTGTGGTTCTGTGTGGATTTGGGAAGGGTTTCAGGAGCTGTCCCTGGGGAGGAGCTGCTGAGTGGCTGTACCTGATATCTGCTGTTTCACCAGGCCGAGTATGAGGAGATTCATGCTGCCTACAGCCAGGAGAAGGCTCAGCTGGCCCTGCTGATGGACAAACATGCTCTGCTGCTCCAGGAATATTCCCCGATTGACGAGGCGCGCAGATTGCTTCGGGAGAAGGAGGAGAAGGCTGCGCAGGAGTTGGCCGCCAGGACCCGTGCTGCCATCTGCATCCAGGCCTTCTGGAGAGGCTACTTGGTGCGGTCTTTCCTCAGGTCAAAGAGGAAGAAGGACATGGCCAAGAGCAAGAAGGGCAAGAAGGGCAAGAAGGGCAAGAAATAAATCCCAACATCTATTCCCTCCCCTCTGGCAGAGCTTCTGGGTCTGAGCTCTTCCAGATAAAAGCATTAAATCATTAAGGTTGGGAAAGACCTTTAAGATTATCAAGTCCAACCATCAGCATCACCATAGTCACCACTGAATCATGTCCTCAAGTACCATAACCACAAGTCTTTTGAACCCTTCCAGGGATGGTGGCTCCACCACTTCCCTGGGCAGTCCGTTCCAGGGCTTTGGAATCCTTTCCATGAATGTTCCCTAATATCCAAGCTGAACCTCCCCTGGCACAACCTGAGGTTGTTCCCTCTTAACCTATCACATCCTGCTTGTGTGGATTTGGGAGCCTCTGCCCCTTCCGATAGGAGGAACTGCAGGACTGTGGTTACCAGTGTGAGGAGGGACACAAGTCCTGCCTGTGCATCACCCCCGGAGTCTGGGATTTTCAGGAGGGTGGGATGTGGCACAGCCCAGCTTGTGCCCTGCTCCCACTCCTCTCCCTAAGCCAAGCAGCAAACTGTGCCCTGTTCCATGCAGATCCCTGTTGCAGCACACTCTCCTCTGGATTCTTTAGTGTCTAATGCCCCGAGAGCACATCACAGCCTTCTCCTTTACCAGGGACATCCATCTAGGGGCTTTACTCCTTCAGACTCCCATTTTCAGGAGCTATGGAGCAGCTTCCTACAACAGAGCCCTTTCCTGCTCATGAGCTGGAAACCAGACATGGATAAAGTCATGCACAGAGAGCTGATCTTGTTTCAGTTCCTTGGGAATTGAGGCTGTTAGTTGCTACCATAAAGGCCCAGGCACCTTCTCTCACACATTCTGAGAGCAAACAGCATTTTGGATCCAGCCTCCAGGGACACTTCTTCACTCCTGACTTCAGTGGCCCTTCCTTGCAGCCCCCCGTCCCAGGCGAGGGCAGTGCCACTGGCTGCAAAGCTGCAACAGCCTCCGGGTCAGGTGAGACCTCTCTGTCCTCTGCCATGGCCAGAGGAGTTGTGTTCCCTTCTTGGCAGAATCCAAGAGACTTTGGGATGTTGGTACCCATGTGGGCACTTTGGGTGTAGTTACATCAAGAGGGACATTCCCTCTCCAGGGAGGCTTCAGTTCCCAAACCCCAACAGCTTGAGAATTCCTGGTAAAAAAATTGTTCAGCTTGGAGAAGAGAAGGTTCCAGGGAGACCTCAGAGTCCCTTCCAGTGCCTAAAGGGCTTGGAGTGCCTCATCGGAGCTGTTCCCAGGGCCCTCTGAGCCCCTGGCAGGGCTCCCTGAGCCAGCAGGGAGAGGTTTGTGAGCAGGTGATGGGCAGGAGTAATGCGATTAGTGGGATCAGGGGGAATTAGGGAGATCAGGGAAAGGCAATGCTCGGGATGGAGGGGTGGGAAGAGAAGAGAAAGGAGAAGGGAAGGAGAGAAGAGGGGAAAGGGAAGTGGAAGATGGAAGAGAAGGGGGAAGGGAAGAGGGAAGTGAAGGACAAGAGTGAAGGGAAGGGGTCAGGGAGGACAACTGGAGAAAGGGACGAG